TGTGCCCGCGTCAGTTGCATGTCACCCCCCCGCCGTGACACTTGGTTCGGCCCGGGCTGCTGGTTGCCTGGGTATCCTCGGCTCCTGGGGGCTCACCCTCCGCCCTCTGCCCCTTGACCCCGAGTCCCTCTGCAGTCCCCAGCTTTTAGGAGAGCGCGGTCTGGTCTTTTGCTGAGATCTTGGCGGGCGTTGGTTTTCCCCGATTCGGCGTCCCCAGCGGCCTTCCGGTACCGGAGGCCCGTGGGGGACTACTCCTGGGTGCGTTCCTGTGGGTGCCCATTCCCAGTGGGTGCCCGTCCCCTGTGGGTACCACCTGCCAGGGAGATCTCCAGACTTTCTAGTCCTCGCAGAAGGCCACCGCGCTGCCTGTGTCCAGCGCCCCTGGCATGGCACTTGCCTTCACCCTCTGCTGTCCAGCCAGCTGACCTCCTGGCCGGCTCCGCGCTCACCACCTGGCCCCTTTCGGTGGCCGGCATGCTTGCCCTGCTGCCCGCTCCTCCTTCAGCCTCGAGGCCCCACCCAGGCACATCCCTGTAGCGCCTGTCTCCATAGACGCCAGTTCTCAGACCCACTCCCTTCTGTGTTGCAGTGTCGTCTTGGTTGAAGTATGTGCAGGAAGTCCAGGCTCCGCTTGCCTAGTTAGAGAGGAGGTGGTTGTAGCTACAGGTGTCTGTCACAGCTCACGGCACCCTCCACTCCTTCCTGTCGTCTCCACAGGTCCCATCCATGTCTCTGGTCCCGCTAACTTGTGTCCTTGTCTTCCTCCCTCCAGGTACACGTGCCATGAGGGTCAGGAGCCTGTCTGCTGTGGTCAGCGCCGTTTCTCCAGGGCCTGGCACGTGGTAGGTACTCAAAGGATCTATTTTGAACCAGGGAATTCCAGGTGGTGCTTAATTAGATCTCCACTTACTCTCCCCCCCACCCAAAGTCCTCCAAAGCTTTTGGGTCTGTTATTCAAGATCTTGTTCTTTTCTGGGAAGGCAGCTTCCCTGGGCCTGGACAGCTCCTCAGGGCTCCCACGCTCCCCTACCGTTCCCTGGACTTTGGCCCAGCTGACCTCCAGCTCCTGGGCCCCCTCCTCTTCCCCCTGCTCTGCTTTCAGCTTCCCCTCCCCCCAGAAAGGAGGCTGGATTAGCTGTCATCTGTGCTGCTCCCTCAACCCTTGTCATTCTCTCTGGATCTTTATTCTTTATTTTTTAAATATTTTTTTTATTGATTTCAGAGTGAAAGGGAGAGGGAGAGAAACATTGGTGATGAGAGAGAATCATTGATTGGCTGCCTCCTGCACGCCCCCTACTGGGGATTGAGCTGGAAACCCGGGCCTGTGCCATGACTGGGAATGGAACCGTGACCTCCTGGTTCACAGGTCGACACTCAACCACTGAGCCCCCACTGAGCCCCACCGGCCGGGCCTCTCTGGATCTTTAGATTCTTGGAGTCAGGGCGTTGGTGTTCACACGTGTGTGCTGGGTCAGACAGGTGTCGGTAGACATGCTGAATAGGCGGCAGCAGCAAAGACCCCGGCAGCTTCACAGCCCCTCACTGTGGAGGTGGGAAGCAGACGCAGGGAGGGCAAAGGACTTCCCAGGAGTCTGAGAGGGAGAGGACCAGCCTGGCTCCCTGGCCAGTGCTCTTGACCTCCACCCCTGGGGCCTCCTGTCCCTCTGCCTCTCCTGGCCTCGGCGGGACCGCGGGGCAGGCATGGTTAAGGGGCTTTGCAGTCAGCCCCGGCCGCTGTCTGACTTGGAATGGCCATGCAGCCTCACTGTGGGGGGAATGGTGGTGCTCATCTCAGCACTGCTGGAATCGTAAATGTGGAAGTGTGAGCGCTGGCTCATGGCAGGGCTCACAAAAGCTGCTGTATTTTTTCGGTGTCCCCCCAGCCCATTGGGCCCCTTTCTTGGGAAAGCATGGGACCCTCCTTTTTCTCATCATTCTTCATCTAGCCCCCAAGACCCGCTGCCCTCCCTCTGCAGCACCCCCACTCCTCCGGCATGTGAGGGTTTACTTCATCAACAGGATTCCCACCGAGTCCCTAGTCCTGACCTCATGGAGCTCAGTCTCGCAGGACAGTGGGGACTGCGCAGTGTGGTGACTCTAGTGGGGATCCCATGCGGGGAGCCCTGGGGGGACGGGTGCTCATCCTGGGGAGGTGGCATTTGGTCTGACTCCGGGAGGACATGGAGGATTACCCAGGTGTGTGTGTGTGTGCACGTGTCGAGAGGGTGAGAGGGCGTGATGTCCGAGAGGAAGGGCCAAGTGGAGGCGGAGAGGAGGGAGGGCCAGGTGGTAGCTGTTCTGTGGGGCCAGGAGGAAGGGAAGAGTCTGGGTGTCACAGCCCCTGCAGCTGCCTGGGCTCCACCCCCAAGACCCTGGGTCTCGGGTCACCTCTCCCTCCATCACCCACGCAGACCTTGCTGCCCGCCTCCACCTGCCAACGCAGGGTTGGAGTTTGGGTGGCCGATCCTTTCAGACGGGAGCCTCCTTCCCAGTGTGTCCTGCTGGTACAGCGGGGGCCATGCCTCTGTCCAAGGCCCCATCGGTGCATTAGGGCACTCGCTTCCCATGAATAAGCATCCCGATTTCATAAGAAAAGTCAACGGGAAACAACATTTCTCTGAAAAAAAAAATGCTTGGGAGTCAACTTTATGGAAACTTCCATTTGCTCTTGGGAATGTTTATTGAGCTCTGATGGTGGCCGGGTCTCAAAGACAGGAATGCAGGCCCCCTCTGTAAGCAGCTGGCCGGTGAGCTGGTGAGATGAGGGCAAGTGGCAAGTACCGTGACCCAGGGAAACACAGGGACCATGTGGGCTCAGGGCTGGACCCTGGAGCCACCAGGAGGCCTCCTGGGCAGCTGGCTCTCCCACCGGCTACTGGTCGGGGCCCTTCTGCTCGCAGGGTGTGGACGCCTGAGTCCCGTGGCTTCTGTAACGTTACCACAGATGGTGGCTTCAAGCCGCAGATTCATTCTCTCCCAGTTCTGGAGGCCAGGAGTCCAGGCCTGTCTCCCTGGACTACAGCCAGGGTGGCCGGGCTGGTTCCTCCTGGAGGCTCCGGGGGAATCCGTTTCCTCGCCTTTTCCAGCTGCTAGAGGCCCCTCCACATCTCTCCCTGCGTCCTGGTCCCCCGGCCTTTGCTCGGAGCCCTCCGGCCTCTCTTGTTAGGACCCTTCTGACCGTGAGGGGCCCACCTGGCGAATCCAGGATGACCTCCCCGCCCAGGTCCTTAACAGGCGTCACATCTGCAAGTGACGGACAGACGGACAGACGCAGCGTTGAGTCTGCCCTGCCCGTGAGCTGCTCACCCTGCTGCACTGCAGTCCCTCGGTCCGTCCCGCAGGCTGGGTGGACCCGCTCCTCCTGCAGGAGTTTCTGTCGTTCTGCATGTTCCCCCGGAAAGAACAGGCTCTGAGTTAAGCGGTTCTTCCAAATACTGACACATCTAATCATGCAATTTCAAAAGCTCGCGTTCGCTGCGGCACTACCCACCTCCGAGAAGTCTGAGGGCATGAGCTGCCGGCTCACGGAGCAGGAAACTGACTTTCCCAGTTCTGCTTTTCGCCTGGAACTCGATTTTGATTACGAGTCTTCCTTGAAGTGACAGGCTCGTTTTGTTCACGTTGGAGAGGTACCTGCCAAGTACAAGTCTGAGTAAGCGTGTTTCGTTTCTCAGCAGTTCTTTTCAGTGTAAGTGTTGCCGTATGAACAAAGCGCCGGTTCGGCTCGCAGCCTGAATCGTCAGAGCAGGGCTCACCGGCCGGGGTGACCTCTGCCTTCATTTTGACAGTTTTGGTTGATTGTGGAGAGCGGCTACACTGTTTGGACAGGTTCAAGCCTCGGACTAAAGAGGACATGATCCTCTCGTGGCAAAGCCACGTGCAAGTCCCAGCTTGGAGGGCAAAGCCCTCCCAGCACAATTATGGCCAAAGGCTGTGGCTGTGAGCTTGACCGTATGGTCCGAACCTGTGGCCCCACGTGGCTGAGTGATATGGGCTGCGGGAGGTGCAGCAAGTAAACAAAGCTTGATCAGGTGCAGGTAATTTGAGTGGATTCGAAACCCGCGAGAACCTTGTAAACATCTTGACCCGCCCTTGCTTTGCCTCGTGGGATCTGTTATAAAATAAAGACTCGGCTTGCAGGCCGTGGCGCTGTCTCTCCATCTGAGAGCAGTGTCCCACCCAGCCCCAGCTTTATCCTCCTGTCTGTCTGCTCCGTCCTTCACCGCCCACCTCAGGCTCACCCCTGGCAGTTCTGAGTGCGACCCAGTTTATATTTCCCCTTCCATCAAGAATGCTAGGAAATGCATGTACTCCAGGCCGAGGTGAGAAAATGTGTCCTTTTCACAGTGTCACCAAGGACATCCGTAAGTGAAGCCCATCACTTCGCTGTGAGTGGGGAGGGCTTGCTCCCCTGGCTGTGGGGCGGGCTGAATCCCGCAGCGCCTACCATGGCCTCGCTCCATACAGTGAAAAAGGCAGACCTCACCTGGATGTGTGAAAATGGCTTTGACCTCACGGAGCCCTTGACTAGCCTGGGGAACCCCAGGGTCAAGATGTTTACAACGTTCTTGCGGGTTTCGGAATCCACTCAATTACCTGCACCTGGTCAAGCTTTGTTTCCTTGCTGCACCTCCCGTAGCCCATATCACTCAGCCACGTGGGGCCACAGGTTTGGACCATACGGTCAAAAACTGCTGGCCTGGAGACCAGCCCACTGCCTCTTCTCCCCACCATTTAGTGTACAGAGTCCGGCCTCTGTCAGCTGAAAAGACCCTCAGGAAGGGTAGACACGTCCGGCTGGAAGGTGAGCCAGGCGATGCTCAAACTGCCCCCAGCTGGCTTCAG